GTCTTCCACATCCTTTTGCAGTGGGCAGCTAAGTTCTAATTGGTAGATTGGTACAGCAGTCCCTCCTCCCCAGGTGTGGGCAATTACTCCAGGCAGGATTAAGGTTGGTGGCATCAATGTGGGCCCCGCCCCCTCCTCATTTTCCAGGAGAGCTGGATTTCTAGCTATCTATCTAACAGGTTCATTTATTATCTCCAGTCTAAATGAGAGGAAACAGAATTATGGAGATGAAGTACCTTGCCTAAAGTCACCCCAAGTCATCCAGCTAGGCAATGGCACAACTTAAATTTGAGCCAGATCCACTTGAATCCAGAACAAACTTTTTTTTTTTTTTTTTTTTTTGAGGCAATCTCACTCAGTTGCCCTGGGGTTGAGTGCCATGGTGTTCTAGCTCTCAGCAACCTTAAACTCTTGGGCTTGAGCAATCGTCTTGCTTCAGCCTCTGGAGTAGCTAGGACTACAGGCACCCACCACAACACCAGGCTAGTTTTAGAGACGGGGGTGTCACTCTTGCTCAGGCGCCTGCCTCAGCCTCCCAGACTGCTAAGATTACAGGCTGAGCCATTGAGCCCCCCTTAAGACCAAACTCTTGATTATCGTATTTGAGGTGGGTTTATCATTTTAGCATGACATTATTCAAGGCCAAACATCACTCAAACTGTATTTGCAATCAAACTATTTTTTGTGTTTAAGGTATAAGGTAGGGGTCAGATTTCATGGTCCATTGGTGATGCTAAAATAAATTTAATAGATACAAAACCCACCAAAGCAGTGGTTGGCATCCACAAGGCAATGATCAACTGAATCTTCAGGAGACACAATTTGCATTTCTATGGATGGGAATTATTTGAATTACTCAGACCGTAAAAGGTATAGAGACCCTAAGATTCAAATAACGTGAACAGCTGATAGCCTATACTATATATATAATGGCTTTGAATTCTCCTTTGAACCAGCTTGAAAATTTTATTGGTTCTCTTCTTAATGAGTTAAATAGAGTTGAAAAATGTTCATTTTATTTTTATGAGCGTTAGGGTTGAATCCCTTTTTTAAAATGATCATTTAGCAGTTCTTTTTTGCTTTTTATTACTCCTTGGTCATCTTCTAAGGCTGTTCTGAAGTCTTTGGACCAGGCTGACTAATCCAAGCATTGGTGGCTGGGGGTCAGGGGTAGGGTACAAAGCATGTGTACCAGGAACTATTGGTAAGAAAATGTAGGGATTGACAGTTCCAGCGTACCCTAGAGAAATCCAGGTGTTTGTAATAACCTCATTGCTCTGTCTAGCCCTAAACATTCTTCCAACAACTGATAAACTGAAGAGCAGTCATGTATTAATTTCATAAACCTGGGTTTTTATATAGAGTGAGTTTTTGAAGAAGGTAAAAGAGAGCTGAAATCTGTAGAAATGTGTGGTAAATAATAAGACAGAAAAACACATTCTTTTTTTTTTTTTTTTTTGAGACAGAGCCTCAAGCTGTCCCCCTGGGTAGAGTGCAGTGGCATTACAGCTCACAGCAACCTCCAACTCCTGGGCTCAAGCGAGTCTCCTGCCTCCGCCTCCCAAGTAGCTGGGACCACAGGCGCCCGCCACAACACCCAGCTATTTTTTGGTTGCAGCTGTCATTGTTGTTTGGCGGGTCTGGGCTGGGGATTCGAACCCGCCACCTTAGGTGTACGTGGCTGGCGCCTTGGCCAGTTGAGCTATAGGCACCGAGCCAGAAAAACACATTCTTAAAAACAAATTGTAACTGTACCCATCTCATGGCCGAATTATTTTTTAGTTTGGTTTAGGAGCATAAAAAGTGAAGAGTGGTTTTTTAAAAAGGTCCTAGGCAGATTGCTGTGTTCATCCAGACCAAATTTTTTTATTTTTTAAAAATGTGATACAGCTGTTTAATTTTCACATTAGCAGTAGCCAACATCTGGGTGGCTCACTCACATAATTCTCTATGTATACACAAGCACATACTATTTATATAAAAAATAAATTAAGCTTTAAGAATGAAACCCACGTTGACAAACACAGCTTTTTAAAGCCTGATGAAAAATAGGCAATGTGGAAACTTCTGGGAGAGACAGGATAACTGTGGCATCCGGCTCTTCAAAACAAAATATTTGAAAATTTGAAACCTGAGATAAATCGCTAAGTATTTTTTTTAAATGCCAATTTTGTAATTCTGCATATCTGCAAATTTAATTAACTTTTTGTTAGAGATATGGCTTTCGGGGTTGCATTTAAAAAGTTAAATATCACACAGGCTGAAGTTTAAATTACATTCCTTTTAAAGTTAAAAGGGTTGATGTTCCTCGTAGCCATTCTTCTCATTTCCAAATACAATTCATCATGAGTGGCCCGACCTCAGCAATCTTAAAATTGTATGCTCAGATACCACATAAGTGAAATTAGAACATATCTGTATCCTCTTGCACATTTCTAAATGACATCTAACATTTTTCATCATAAATAATAGTTGCAAAGGATATAAGTGCTAGCATATTGTAGAAACTGCGTTTACAAAGAAAACTGTTACATTCCTTTTTAAATTTAGCCAAGAGGCTCTAAATATAGTTATTTAATAGATACTTTCATCCTTTCAAAAAATTACATGAACAAGGCAATTTTTTTAATGACCAGCCTTAACTGGAACAAGGCAATTTTTAATAACAAAGTAATGCCCCATTTTTCCCTTTACTCTGTGAATTTGTATTTTTCATACCACTTCCGCCTCAAAAATCTCAGCGCAATTATTTTTAGCTTTTGTACTGTTTAATTTTATCTCTGTAATAAAATTATATCCTATAATCGTAAGACGCTGAGCCTTTAAAAAAGCTCGAGTGGATTGAGTGATCAATAAACACATAGTACAAATTTTAATAAATAAATAACTAAACACAGTAAAACCTCATTGGAAATATATCATTTTACGAGATGAAGGGGGCTTTCCCCCCTACTTATTTTGTCTGTTTAGATTCACGGTATCATTTTCAGAGCAAGCCGAGGTGCTGCATCAATCCTATGCTTCCTTTTTTATTTATGGAGGTGTTGGTCCTTGTTCACATAGACAAGCCGAGGGGAACAGAGTTTGCTGACAACAATGTCACCGAATGTTCCAACTCCTTCATAGTTACATGCGGAAGGACTCAACACTCTACTGGATGTTCCTTCCATTTTGTTGAAATTAAAGAACTGGGAATCACCAGATTTGCAAAAAGACTTATTACCCGTGAAGTCTTTCACTTTCCAAACATCAATATTTTAAATTTGATACCCTGGGGTATGCTCTACAGTAACACTGGAGATGGGGAAAGCTATGTGTTCTTTTATTAGGTGGCAAAAGAGTATCTTAGGCAGATGAGTCTTAGGAAAGAGTACAAGGGGGAAGGTGGGATCTGAAAACTGATCTCCTGAAAGCACGTGAGCCCGCCTGTTCCCCGGGAAGCTCTGGTAGACTCCTAGGGGTAAGGCCGGCTCAGTTAGTTGAAAGACCATTGGCCTTGGTGGCTTAAGTTCAAATTTTAACTAGGTTGCAAAGGATATAAATTATTAGATGATAGTCGCCTGGCTGCCGTAATAGAACAGCAGGCTCTCACATGTGATCCAGTGTACACAAGTCTCACGAGACACTTTTGGCAAAAGGATTCTGAGATCGAATTTGAAAAATGTGATCTTCTACACCCCTCTTGACTCATACACCCAAGTCTCATGCTAAGTTACTCTTCTCTGTGTAACCCGTTTCCCAAATGCAAAAGGCTGAGCCAGCCTTCTCCCTTCATTATTCCATGTAGTGGCCAATGGCGTAAATGACATGTTTAGGAAAACGGTAACAAAAAACACCGTGTGACACCCATATCCAGTCTTGGTTTGGATCTATCCATGCAGCTGCCATCTTTGAGAATCTTCCTGTTACTGTTCTGCTTGACCTGAATGGCCTGCGCTGTCATGGCCTGTGATAAATACATCTCAGCTAGGCTACGTGGCGTCAAGTCCACTCTAGGGAGGTATCAGCTGTGCCTTTCCTGAGAGAACCAGATGATGGGTCAGATGATGGCCTCAAAGCTAACAGTGGGTTCAAGGTGTTGCAGCACCAGGAGAGGAGAGCCTTAACTAGAAAGTTCTCCCCAGCACCATGTTTTTTTTTTTTTTTTTTTTTGGAGACAGAGCCTCAAGCTATCCCCCTGGGTAGAGTGCCATGGCATCACAGCTCACAGCAACCTCCAACTCCTGGGCTCAAGCGAGTCTCCTGCCTCCACCTCCCAAGTAGCTGGGACCACAGGCGCCCACCACAACGCCCGGCTATTTTTTGGTTGCAGCCGTCATTGTTGTTTGGCGGGTCCGGGCTGGGGATTCGAACCCACCACCTTAGGTGTACATGGCTGGCGCCTTAGCCAGTTGAGCTATCGGTGCCAAGCCTCCCCAGCACCATGTTACAACACACTGCCTGCTCTGAAGAGACACTCAGCGTGCTGAGTTTCTTTCTGTCTCCTATGCCACTGTGTCTCACTTTCTTTGACACAGCAGCAAATGCTTTTAAGCAGAAAGGGGACGCAGGCCTTAGCATTGTGGCTCTAACACAGAGTGAAGGAGGAGGTGAAAAGAGGCCCTAACAGCAGCTCCCGAGCTCTACTGCATACAGGTAATGGCAGAGCCAAAAGGGACCAGGAGGAGTTGCCATGTGCAATAATTAGGCTCCGGTGGCTACCACGCCAACAGCTCCGGGGGCATTGGCAGCATTCAGCGCAATACCTTTTTCACCCAACCTTTCTTGAAAGTTACTTTGAGCATTTGTTACTAAGAGGAATGTTCTTTCCTCAGTTGCTGACTGCCAGATAAAATAGCAACTGCCAATTGGAAGAGTAGTGATGTTTCCAGAAGACAGCTCCACCTTGGCCAGGCTGCTATTACCTGTGCTCCTGGCTTTACGGACAGTAAGTGTCTTTAAGACAGTGGTTCTCAACCTGTGGGTCGAGAACGACCCACAGGAACTGTATTAAAGGACTGTGGCAAGAGGAAGGTTGAGAACCACTGCTTTAAGAGCTCACGGATGGAGGTGCTTCGTGAGACCAGTATCTGTAGCTTTTATTTTTTTAAACTTTGCATTCCCGAACCTTGGTGCAGTGCTTGGCATGTGGAGGTGCTCGGTAAGTTTCTGTGGAATGAAGAGATAGTGTCTTTTTGATCAGAGGCTGGTTCATTTTGCTGTGTTCTTTAGCAATACAGGCCTGCTGAGCCCAGCATCTTGGGTAACTAGGAGAGGGCGGAATGGCTCCAGGGCCAGGTCCACCCATGTAAGGCACAGTCTGCTGCTGGTTTGTTCCTTCCTGCCATAGTCATTTCTTGTCACAATTACACAAGAAATTGTGTAATTGTTTTCCCTTAAGGCCATTTTTGATTCACTGAGTGTCAAATTGGGTCTATGCTGACCCCCCACCCCCAACACTCTCCTCTCCTTTAAAAAGCTATTATTAAATCACTGAAATGGTATCTCAAGATGCAGAAGTGGAAAATCCTAGACAGCTGTGTGTATTCTCATGAACTAGGTGGGTCTGTCCCTTTGTGCATGGCTGCATTTGAGATTTTCACTAACATTCTAATACTTAAGCCATAAAAGCTTAACTGGCTGCTCCAGAAAATCAGGTAATCCAGAGACATTTCCCTATAAATGAAACTCTTATCTGCTTAGTCAAGATAGCAGTTGACCTCCCAGCAGCGTCCCAGCCAGCACTGTGGGACCATGGGGTGATAAGGGAGGCCGGAGCCTCCCAGCAGTGGGCAAAGCAGAGGCAGGGAAGCTGGCAGAGGCTACAGCAGGAATAGGGTCTGTCGGACACACTTTATAAAACAAAAGAGACCTCAGGATGTCCACCCCACCTCTAATAACTCTAGTCACAAAGCAGGTATCTACCATTACTTAGAAATTGTCTCAGTGAACAGATTCCGTCACCCAACCACATCTTGTGGACTGGGGCAGGTCCATGCAGATCTGTCTAGCCAGCTGGCGGGTGGTAGTTAAACTGCATTGAGCTGAACCCGCTGACTGGAGACAGGGCTCCTCTTTGGGTCCTGTGGAATCCGATGTGCTGAATTGTGGAACTGCTGCCTTTTGGTTAAAATCCTTTTCAGAATATAATGAAGGAGTTCCTTACATTTCCGGCTCATCTTGCGTAGAACAACCTGGGTCATCGGAAGCTGAACCTTGTTGACAGGAAAAAGAAATCTTGCTCACTGTCATGCACAGAAGGCTTAACTGACTGAGGCTTTCACTGTTTTTTATTCAATGAGGTTTAGGACACGAGAAGCCAAAATTGAGGAGCATGTTTTGGGGATCCTCTATAGAGAACATAAATTAAGAGAGTTGTCCAAAATGGGGGGGAAAAAAAAACCCTAGCAGGAAATCACCAACTCAGGCCAGTGAGGGCTTCTTCAGAAACGTCATCTTGATGGCAGGCTTAAAGAGAGGATGACAACATCACAGAGTAGCATCTTCCCAGAGTGTGAGCAGCGAGTTCTCCTATATGCAAACACACATGCGCGTGCACACACACAGACACACACACACACTGCCTTCTACGAGTAAAACTTGCTGTTGCTGACCCTCTTCTCTCTTAACCTGAAATAAAGCAGACGTCACTATCAGTGAGACGTGAAAAATGCACTATCCCCTGAGCACTGGGACACTAACATTTCTCTGTCCCCGCGGTGGCAGGTCACTGACAGCTGGGTGGTGCAAGGCTGAAAGTCAGGGCAGTGGGCTCCTGGCAAGGCACTGAGACTTAGGCTACATCTCATTGGTAGTAACTACGCTATGAGCTGAAGTAAATGATTAAGATTAAATGAAAACAACACAGGCGGGGGCGGGCAGCAGAGTGCTGCTCATTGGTGGCTGCTAGTAGTATTTTCCTTAGTTGTATGAGTATTTTCATTAGTATTTTCTTTGTGGCCCGGAACTGTCTGGCACATTGTGAGACACTGTGCATCCCTGGCTGTCCCTCCCTACCACCTGCCATCACAATACCCGCAAGAAATACCCCTGTGGGAAGGTTCTGTCCCATCTAGAACCACTGGACAATTCATTCTTGGTAACTCAGGAAGGGCTCCTTAAAAGTCAGTGACTATCATTAATATCTACTATTACATTGATGTGCTCTTCTTAGGGAACTAGCAGGTGCTTAAGGTGTTGCTGTAACTTACAGAGCACAGAGAATGAGGGTCAAAGGTACCAAAGGATTACTCAAGAAAGCAATTCTGGCTGGGCTCAGTGGCTCACGCCTGTAATCCCAGCTCTCTGAGAGGGTGAGGTGGGTGGATCACTTGAGTTTAGGAGCTGGAGACCAGCCTGAGCAAGACCCCCATCGCTACTAAAAATAGAAAAAATTAGCCAGATGTTGTGGTGGGTGCCTGTAGTCCCAGCTACTTAGGAAGCTGAGGCAAGAGAATTGGGTGAGTCCAAGAGGCTGAGGTTGCTGTGAGCTATGATGATGCCATGGCATCCTACCTGAGGGCAACAGAGTGAGACTCTGTCTCAGAAAAAAAAAAAAAAGGAACCAGGTCAGCCAGTGTTTGCTAAACCAAGTGTGTGAGAGGGGGGGAGAGAGAACTGAAACTTTAAGAAGGGAAACTATTAATCACTGTGGAGAATATGACAGCAAGATCATAAAATTAAATCCATGAAGTTTAGCTAAC